CAATCCCTGAAGCCTGAAACAACTGATTGTATGGAGGCCGATCCAACTGACAATCAGCTGCTTATGCTAATCAGGCTGTGCTGAAGCTGTTTGCTGCAAGGAGGCAAATTGCTGGGAGGCAGAGGCAGATTTTTTTTCTTGTTTTCCTCCCCAAAGATAGGTGGGTCTTATACTTTGGAGCATCTTATGTGGTATTTTAAATAAATTAAAAATAAATACAATTTTAAATAAATGCATTGATGTATAAAATAAATGCATTGATGTATAAAATATACATCAATCAATCATTTAATTAGTCAGTTAATCTTGATAAAGTTCACAAATGGAATAGAAATGTAAGAAATCTTTTACAATAAAGTTTAGTCTCAAATTTAAAATAAGTGGATATCTTATTTTAAAATCATGCATATATGAAGAATGGAGGAATGCATGTGAATTACACTATGAGGAGGAACTAAATGTGACTTGATGTTTAATTTTTTTCTCATTTCATCCCTCCAGACTTTATTAAGTAGAAAGGCCCCAAGAAAAAGGAGGAACTAAATGAGGCATCCGCCTGCAATTGTATTCCTGCAATCATTTGGAAGTTGTCAGGGTTTTCATATTTTTCTATCTGAAGCCCAGAGATTACTTGGCTAATGTTTCTGTCTACCTCCATGTTACATAGATGGTGAGATTAACCTCTTTCCTTTGGCATTTTTCTTTTTCTTTCCAGTCTCTGCCTCAGTCCAAATGTGTGGAAAAATGTCAGCCAGGATTTGTCAAGAAAGCTCGAGAAGGAGAACCAGTTTGCTGCTATGATTGTGTTCCTTGTCCAGAGGGGACCATCTCAACTCAGGAAGGTTGGTAACACCATAGGGAAACCTTCTGAATTCATCCAAAGCACTCTGATCAATATACATCTTAAAGAGTCATATACGTTTGATGGTTTTGTTTTTAATTTCCATGGTGTCCAATTTCTTCCCTAATGGGAGGCAAAAGAAAAAGATCTCAAAGGATGAGTTAGGAAGAAGGATGTAATGTATTGGGTAGGAAATCTCTTTTTTTTTATATTTTGCCAGTTTGGATGAGTCATTCCATATTTATCTTTCTTAGAAATATATGAATTCCTTGTAACTTGAGATATGATATTAGATCAATGCACTTTGCTCATCCAAATCAACCTTACACTACAGGCCAAAAGATACATCAATCATACATTTAAACAATTACTCTTTATTAAGATCATAAACTCTTATAAGCTGAAATATCTAAATATCTGAAACAATGAAGGGGGAGAAGTTGGGTTCAAAGAACAAATAAAAACCAAACAGAGGACTCGTCATAAAACCATCAAGTGCATAGTTACTTCCCACCTTTTCTTATCTTTTCAATTTGCATTGTTAAATATTGAGATAAAAACTGTTATAATACCAACCAAAAATGAATATGGTTGTGGTTCTGAAAGGAAAAAAATACTAACACACAGTGCTGGGATTAAAATGAACAAAAAGAAGGGGGGGGGGAAGGAGAACTAATAAAAGACCAATCTACGAATAGATACCAATGTCGATTTCATTATCTCTTTAAAATTGTTGCCAAATCTAGAAAGGATGGAAATATATTGCTTCATCTTCCTATTTTTATTGGATAAAAAGACTTGGCAGATAACAGACTCAGTTCCTCTTCTTGAATTCCTTCACCAACTAATCTTCTTTAAAGCTCTTTCTTTTCAAATTTATTGATCACATTTATATGGTTGTCTATTTCGCACAGTGACTTTTGACGGTACACAATTAAATCACAAATTAAAAATTAAAACAACGAGAACTAAATGCTAAGTTTAGTTTACTTTATTGTCATTGCACCTCGTACAATGAAATCAAACACCATCTTCAGTGCACATCATGACCATGAAAATAAACACAAATGCACATCCTTCACACTCCACACATTGAATTGAAAACCCACCCACCAACAGGATACAGGATCTAACCACATTACACAAATTTTATCACCTGACAAAAATTTAATAAATAAACAAGTAAGTAAATAAAGAAATAAAAAAAGAACCTGGTTGGTTAAGTCAGAGAAGGGAGGTAGTGGAACAAGATTGCCACATGACTATGTAGCAGCAGCAAAAAAAAAAGCTAACACAATCCTTGGTTGTTTATAAACAGAGGCATAGAATCAAAATCACATGAAGTATTAGTACCACTTTATAAAAATCTATGATGACCACACTTAGAATGCTTTGGCATGCAAAAAGGTCTGTTCCCTAAAACATTGCCACTTTATGACTCCTCAGAAGCCTACCTTTTCTGGTGCAGCTCCTACTCCACTCTACCCTGAAATTCAATAGTCCCCATCCTCTTAAACTTCTGGAGACTTGCTGCTTCTCCCAGGAGTTCCCATGGGACAGTTTCTTGTTGCAGTCTGGAACGGGCATTCCACAGGTAGCTCTCCCTCCCCCCCTCTCTTTGTGGCAACTGAAAAGCAGCAATAGTTGCAATCAACAAACTTTTGCTTTAAAGTTGACAAAGGAGTTTGTGGCACCAGATATTTCTTCTTTTAATTTTATTTTCTTGTTCTTGTTTTTTATTGTTTAATTTTATTTAGTTGTTTTTGTTTGTATATATTTGGGGATCTTTTTGCTGGAGTCTAAGAATGTACCATTAATGATGCTTTCCTGTCTCTCAATATCACATCTCATTCAAAGTTTTCTTGAAATTTGAAAGACTATAACAAAAAATATTATTTTTCTCAGATACTGAAAAATGCACAAAGTGCCCAGAAGAACAATGTCCAACCAAGAACCGAGTCCAATGTATCCCCAAAAGAATAACCTTCCTGTCCTATGAAGAACCTCTGGGCATCATCCTCGTCTGCTTTGCCCTACTCTTGTTCCTAACCACAGGCTTTGTTTTAATCATATTCATTAAACATCTAGAAACTCCCATTGTCAAAGCCAACAACCGGGACCTCTCCTACATCCTCCTGATCTCCCTCTTGCTTTGTTTTCTGTCCTCCTTTCTTTTCATTGGCCAGCCAAGGAAAGCCACTTGTTTTCTCCGGCAAACAATGTTCAGCATTGTCTTCTCAGTAGCTGTGTCTTCTGTGTTGGCCAAAACAATCATGATGGTGCTGGCTTTCCTGGCCTCAAAACCAGGAAACAAGATGAGAAGATGGTTAGGAAAGACCTTGGCCAACACTACCATCCTTTCTTGTTCTGGTGTCCAAATTTTCATTTGTGTCCTGTGGCTGGGAGTTTCCCCCCCATTCCCTGATTCTGACATGCACTCCCAGCCTGGAAAAATCATCCTTCAATGCAACGAAGGCTCTGTTACCATGTTTTATATTGTCCTCGCCTACATGGGTTTCCTTGCTATCATTTGCTTCATAGTGGCTTTCTTGGCCAGGAACCTGCCTGGGGCCTTCAATGAAGCCAAACTGATCACTTTCAGCATGCTGGTCTTCTGCAGTGTCTGGGTTTCCTTCGTTCCCACCTACCTGAGCACAAAAGGGAAATACATGGTGGCCGTGCAGGTCTTTTCCATTTTGGCCTCTGGTGCTGGACTGCTGGGCTGCATCTTCCTCCTCAAGTGCTACATTATCATTCTTAGACCTGATCTAAACACTAAGGAACATCTCATGATAAAAATAGGGAAGTGACAATGAAATTGTTTCTTAGGACCATAACATTTAATTATTGATTGCAAATTGTTATTGGTTTATATGCTTTGTTTGCCTCTGTTTGACAACTTATGTTATTTAAAACTGAAAGAAATAAAAATAGTTAGTTAGATGGGCTGCGGACTGCTTTAAGCTTGATGGGTAACTTCAGAGTTAGTTTGGAGGGCCTCAATCTCATCCATAGTTCTTTCAGAATTCAGAATCAAGTCTAGGACCAAAGCAATTATTGAATTCTTTCTGCAGTGCTTTTCAGCATGTCCTAGTGGGACTCCCTGAAATAATATTGAGAGTTGGCCCCCATACAACAAAGAGATGCACTCTGTGGTATGTAAGAATTACATACTAAGGATTACACCTGTGAAAATTAGGAACATAAGCAACACCATATTTATCCGATTTCTGACCTATGCAATAATTACTGGAATATTACTGGACTGTTATATAACTATAAACATAAGTTTATTATGTTCTGTAGAAATGTCATTTTTTTGACTAGAACATGGAAATGTCAAATCTTTGGCAATGATAATAGGTGAAATGATTTTGGGTCATCCTGACCTAAAAGGAATTGGTTAATGAGCTATTGTATTAAAAACTTGCTGATGTTCAAAACATCCTGCCCTGAGAGGTCCAGGGTTTTTGGCATTGATATCAGAAGGAAGACAAGAAGAAAAAGCATGGAGAGGTTTGTAAGAACGTGGAAAGACAGGAGGATGGACTGGGTAATCATCAGAGAATCAGATAGATAGATGAGACACACAGAGATGAAAACATGATTATTTTAATTATCATGGTATCCCATGGTATTTAGCTAGGGAATACTTTATGTTGCGTTGAGGTCTTTTATCTAATATTTTTGTTCCGTTTGTAATACTTCTGCCCAAGCAATTACATCAACTGAAAAACATCAACGTTTGGCAATTTAATTACTTCTGTAAATAAACTGATGGAGAGAAAAAGGAAATTGTGTGACTCTGTGGCATAATGTGTGGTTAAAACAAAGGAAGGCCTTCCACAATCAAATTCAAACAAAAAGATATAAAGAATACAGAATAATGATTTTGCAGTAACCTTACCCTGGGGTGGGAATGAATTTTGCAGTATATCCTTCCCCTGGAGTGGGGTGGGAATGGAGGTTTTACAGTATCCTTCCCTTGCCATGCCTACCAAGCCATGTCCACCAAGACATGCCACGCTTACCAAGCCAGGCCCACAGAACCAGTAGTAAAAAAATTTAAATCCCACCAGTGCAGCCAGGGAAGGACAGGATAGGGAATAAGATTATCCTATATTAAGATAAGATGGCTGAAGAGAAGAGACAAGATTTCCTAAAGAGAAGGGAAAGGAGTATTTTGCCTTGGGTGGGATGAATATGGAAATTTAAGTCTGTGTGAACATGCCCTCTTTCTCTCTATGCGTTGTTCTCTAAATAAAGGGATGGACAACTCACACATTGAAACTCAACAAGTTCTCAACCTGACACTTTGTTTTATTCAGATGCACAAACAAACCTAAACAGACAAATATCCACAAAGAGAAAATACTGGTGTCAGAACTTTGACAATGAAAAAAACACCATCCTCCTTGTGATTGTGTTTTATCACAGCCCTATAGAGGCACAGGACACTTCTTCACAGGACACTTCTTCCCTGTTGGGAGGGAAGGGTGGAGACTGTCAATTAAGGGTTGTAGGGCATTGTCTTTTGACCTTCTCAATTTGTACTAAGACTTCCCCCAGCCCCATTATGATCACATTTCCTCCCATGAAATGATTCCAGTGTATTTGTCCACTTCCCTCGGTATAAGAGGAATTTATAATGCCTTGATAAGATCACACTTGGAATACTGCATCCAGTTTTGGCCCCCACATTGTAAAAAAATATGTCAAGACTCTGGAAAGAGTACAGAGAAGACCAATAAAGATGATTAGGGGACTGGAGGCTAAAACATATAAAGAACAGTTGCTGGAATTGGGTATGTTTAGTTTAATTCAAAGAAGTACTAGGGGAGAAATGATAGCAGTGTTCCAATATCTCAGGGGCTGTCACAAAGAAGAAGGAGTCAAGCTATTCTCCAAACCATCTGAGGGCAGGACAAGAAGCAATGGGTGAAAATTAATCAAGGAGAGAAGCAACTTAGAACTAAGGAGAAATTTCCTGACAGTGAACAACTTTCCTCCAGAAGTTGTGAATGCTCCAACACTGGAAGTTTTAAATAAGAGATTGGACAATCATTTATCTGAATTAATATAGGGTTTCCTACCTAAGCAGGGGATTGGACTAGAAGATCTCCAAGGTCCCTTTGCTATTCCATTTTTCTGTTATAAGATGACCCTTGGGTTACTTGGATAGTTCATTGGTTTCCACTGTCCCAGTCAAAACTGATGTTTCTCCCAGACACTCTTAATTCCCATCAATATACTTTTATCCTATGGTTGCTTCCTGCATACAGGATCTGGAGATACTCATTGATGGCTTTTTCTTTCCTTTTCCTTTTCTTTCTCTGCAGTATTATTTGGTCCTTGGATTCACATGGTAGGCTGCTCTTAATTCAGGAGGGTTACCTCTTTATGAACATTTACATTTTCACATGCTCTCTCTCTCACATGCTCTCTCTCTCTTTCTAAAAGAAGTTTGCTTTGTATTGCCCTACCTGCCAAGCAGCAGCTAAGGATACTTCCTTCAAAAAAACAGCAGGATAAAATTTGACTTTGAACAGAGCCAAAGGTCCAAGTTTCTGCTCAACACAGAAGGGACACAATCACTCCTTCAAACTCAATTTCCGTTATTTGAGTCATTTCTCCAGTCATTTTTCAGTTGAGCTCTCTACATAAAAACTGAGAACTGGACTAAAAAAGTGGACACACACATTTAAGAAACCTCCCAACCAAAATAAACTTTTAGATTGTTGCCTTAAGCACACTCCTAAATGGTACCCTTTCTTTGGCAGCAGAAAATGACATGTGATCAAACTCACCACAACACATAGGATGCACTATTGTAATCCCTGGTCACAGATCAAAAATTGTGAATCTCATTTCTGACACCAGTTTGTGTGGAATCAAAACACTGAAACAAAAGCAAACAGTCAAGGCTCACTGCAGCATTTATTACACAGGACATACTGAGAGTTGATCTTGTACAAAAAAATAGAGGGATACACTCACATCCCAGTTACACTGGCATGGGATTTTAATAAGGTTTTTAAAAATATTGTGAATGTTAATGTTCCAAGCTGCCCAGTGGAATCTATAGGTGAACGTGGCAGCCTTATACATTTGTTTAATAAGAATATATAAATATTTATGCTTTGCAGAAAAGAGATAAAATGATGCAAAACAGAAGGAGAAAATGCGGTATACATACATAAATAATAACATAAGAAATTTCATATTACTTCTTACCCTTCTGTTATCTGCAAAGAAAAATAGTCTTTGTTATAAGAAGCATTTTCATCTTCTGAATCAGGAATTGCTATGGGAATATTCTGATAAAACTTCCCACGGGGTCACTAGGAACTGCAAGTCCACATTCCTTATGTCTCCATTGGCTTACTGGAAAGACTCATTCATCTGGAAACAGACTTTACCCACATTATTGTGACTAAAACTAAGACTTCATATTTTGTTTTAGGAATGTTTAGAAATATGGAAGAATAGGAATAGGATTAGCTTTAGGAATAGGAGGAATATTTGTGTCAGGGTTCTGGTGATAGCCCTAATTAAATCATGAGCCTCAAGCCAAGCTTCAAAAAAAACCTCAAAAGATTTATTAGGAGCAACATGCTGGCATTAACCTAAATGAAGCCAAGTCTGGCATACATAATTCACAGTCACCTGTGACCGTGTTTTGCCCCTCCCCCTGGGTGTATCATAAATCAGATTCTCCAATAAAGCACTGCTCAGGTATCATCAATCACATTCTCTAATAAAGGATTTCCACAACCAGAAGATCCAGTAGCCTAGCTACAATCTTTTTAAGATAATGGTGGAATGTACTTCTGGTTTTACTGCTGTACTGCTCCTTCAGATTCCCCCTGCTTGTTTATGGCAACTTGAAAACAGACATAGGAATGTTTTATGAGTTGACAATATGTTCAATATGTTCATTTCCTTCTCCTTTTCCCCTGTTGTCAATTGTAAAACAATTTTAGTGATACTATTTATTTTTCAAATGTTTTAATGTTTCATCTTGTTTTTATTGATTGTAAGCTGCCTTTAGGGAAGCCGGGAAGCCTATAACTTAAATAAATAAATATTAAATGGTCAAAAAATTGTTAATTGAGACTACTAAATGCCATTTTTGAAGAATAACAGATTGGTAAAAGTCATTTTTTCTATATTATTTTAACATCAAATGTTCTTTGGTATTCAGATCTGACCTGAAAATAACAATGTCACATTTAGGGATGAAAATGCAGGCCAGCAATCCAGCACTGGATGCTAAAATGGAGAAGACCTGCACAGTTACCATGTACCACCCTTTGGTGTTCAGGTAGAAGGCACAAAGGATACCCAGACACTGCAGAAGATCAGCATGCTGAAGGAGATCAGCTTGGCTTCGTTGAACGCCCCAGGGAGATTCCTGGCCAGGAAAGCCACTGTGAAGCAGAGAGCAGACAGAAAGTCCATGTATCCAAGGGCAATATAAAACATGGTTACAGAACCTTCATTGCATTGTAGAATGACCTCTCTAGTTTGGTAGTGCATGTCAAAGTCAGGGAATTGGGGGGAAATTGCCCAATCAGATGCTGCAGATGGCAACTTGGAGACCAGAACAAGAAAGCACAACTGACGTGGCCAAATTCTTCCCCAACCTTCTCTGCATTTTGTTCCCTGGTTTTGTGGCCAAGAAAGCTAACACCGCTGTGATAGTTTTGGCCAAGATTGAAGAAATGGCAATTGAGAAGACAATGCTGAAGGCTGTTTGTTGGAGGAGGCAAGTCAGTCTCCTTGGTCGGCCAATGAGCAGAATGGAACA